CTGTCACCCAGGCTGGAGTGCAGTGGCGCAATCTAGGCTCACTGCAAGCTCCACCTCTCAGGTTCACGCTATTCTCCTGCCTCAGCCTCCCAAGTAGCTGGGACTACAGGCACCTGGCACCATGCCCAGCTAATTTTTTTTATTTTTAGTAGAGACGGGGTTTCACCGTGTTAGCCAGGATGGTCTTGATCTCCTGATCTCGTGATCCGTCCGCCTCAGCCTCCCAAAGTGCTGGGATTACAGGCATGAGCCACTGCGCCCGGCCGGTTAATACTATTTTTAATAGTCGATTTTGGGCCTCACTCCTGTGTCCAAGCCCTCTCTAATTTTGCTTTTCCCCTTTTCACACATTCATTCTCCACATCAATTTCTCTTCATGTCCTTAGAATTAAATTGCATCTATAACTTTAATTTCAACCTATTAGATGCATCATTGGAACATCTGATATTGCAAGGGCAGAGAAAGGTATTAGGAAAGCCAGTGAAGGAGAAAAGGCAGGAGGGAGCCTATTCCATTCCTGCCAAGATGCCAGGTTAGTGTGGATTGTTGGCTGCCCTGCAGGACCAGCCATGATGAATTTTTTTTTTTTTTTTTTTTTTTTTTTTTTTTTTTAGATGGAGTCTCGCTCTGTTGCCAGGCTGGAGTGCAGTGGCGAGATCTCTCCTCACTGCAACCTCTGCCTCCCGGGTTGAAGCGTTTCTCCTGCCCCAACCTCCTGAGTAGCTGGGACTACAGGTACTCACTACCACACCTGGCTAATTTTTGTATTTTAGTAGCAGCGGGGTTTCACCATGTTGGCCAGGATGGTCTCGATTTCCTGGCCTTGTGATCCTCCCTCCTCGGCCCCCCAAAGTGCTAGGATTACAGGCGTGAGCCACCGCTCCCAGCCCATGATGTATCTTTAGAGGGAAACATTGACAGACAGGAAGACCTGGGAGAGTAAACAAAGGTTGTGTGGGGAGGCCAGGGCTATGGCCCAAGGCAGGAGGCTGTGGACTCGGTTGTGGGAGGAGAAAGCAGTAAATGAGCACCAGGGTTCTACTCTGCTTCCGACCCAGCTTCAGGGCTTTGGGCGATGGGTGCCTGGCCCCGGCCTGCAGGTGTCCTCAGGATAAAGCAGGTCATGCAGAGGCTCTGTGCAGGGGAGGAAATGAAAAATACTTAGAACTACAGCATATCAAATTGCAATAAAAAAGGCCGGGTGTGGTGGCTCACACCTGTAATCTCAGCATTTTTGAGAAGCCAAGGCGGGTGGATCTCTCTCTTGAAGTCAGGAGTTCGAGACCAGACTGGCCAAGATGTTGAAACCCTGTCCCTACTAAAAATAAAAAAATTAGCCAGGCATGGTGGTAGGCACCTGTAATCCCAGCTATTTGGGAGGCTGAGGAGGGAGAATTGCTTGAACTCAGGATGTGGAGGTTGCAGTGAGCAGAAATCATGCCACTGCACTCCAGTCTGGGTACAAGAGCAAGACTCCATCTCAAAAAAAAAAAAAAAGAAACCACCCAAATTGCAATGAAAGCAGTGCTTGGAGGAAAGCTTGCCTCCTGAAATACTTTTATGAGAAAATAAGAGACTGAAAATTAATGAGCTGAATATCTAAATTTGTGATGTGAAAAAATCACAAATGGATACATACAGATTAGGAAGCCAGCATTACCGTGATACCAAAGCCAGAAGAAAAGAAAATTACCAACCAGTATCTGTCATGAATATAAGATGCAAAAACCTTCAATAAAGTACTAGCAAACTGAACCCAACAGCATATTAAAAGGATTATACACCATGATGAAGTGGGATTTATCCTGGCATGCAAAGCGCTATAGGAAATAACAAGAAAATTCATCAGCGTAATATGCCACATTAATCAAATGAAAGGGGAAAATCACGTGATCACTTAAATTGATGCAGAAAAAGCCTTTGACAAGATCCAACACCGTTCATGATAAAAAGCACTGAGAAATGTAGGAATAGAAAGGAACTTCCTTAACACGATAAAGGGAATTTTTTAAAAACCCACACATAGGCTGGGGGTGGTGGCTCAAGCCTGTAAACCCAGCACTTTGGGAGGCCGAGACGGGCAGATCACGAGGTCAGGAGATCGAGACCAGCCTGGCTAACATGGTGAAACCCCGTCTCTACTAAAAAAAAAAAAAAATAGAAAAAACTAGCCGGGCGTGGTGGCGGGCACCTGTAGTCCCAGCTACTTGGGAGGCTGAGGCAGGAGAATGGCATAAACCCAGGAGGCGGAGCTTGCAGTGAGCTGGGATCCGGCCACTGCACTCCAGCCTGGGTGACAGAGCGAGACTCCATCTCAAAAAAACAACAAAAAAAGAAAAACCCACACATAACATATTTCAATGGTGAAGAGCCACAAAACTTTTTTCCTAAGATCAAGAATTAGACAAGGATGCCTGCTTTTATCACTGCTATCCAACACTGTACTGGAAGTTCTAGATAGAGCAATTAAACAGGAAGTAAAAATCATCCAAATTGGAAAGGAAAAAGTAAAACTACCTCTAATGGTAGATCATATGATCCTGTATATAGAAAACCCCAAAGGATCCACAAGAAAGCTACTCAAATAAACAAATTCAGGAAAGTTGCAGGATACAAGCTCAATACACCCAAATCAGATGTTTCTTCACAGCTGCACCTGCAATGAGTAATCTGAAAACGGAATTTAAAAAGCAGTTCCATTTACAATAGCACCGAAAAGAGTCAAATACATAGGAAAATAGTTAACCAAGGAAGTGAAAGACTTACACTAAAAAGAATACAACACTGCTGAAAGAAATTAAAGAGCTGGGCATGGTGGCTCACACCTGTAATCCTAGCACTTTGGGAGGCCAAGGTGGGTGTGTCACCTGAGGTCAGGAGTTCAAGACCAGCTTGGCCAACATGGCAAAACCCTATCTCTACTAAAAATACAAAAGTTAGCCGGGCATCATGGTGGTCGCCTGTAATCCCAGCTACTTGGGAGGGTGAGGCAGGAAAATTGTTTAATCCTGGGAGGTGGAGGCTGCAGTGAGCCGAGATCATGCTACTGCATTCCAGCCTGGGTGACAGAATGAGACGGTCTCAAAAATAGAAATAAAAAAATAAAAATCAATCTATAATATACCACATTAATCAAAAGAAAGGGGAAAAAAAATCACATGATTACCTCAATTGATGCAGAAAAGGCCTTTGACAAATTCCAACACCTTTCATGGTAAAAAGCACTCAGAGGCTGGACATGGTCACGCCTAATCCCAGCACTTTGGGAGGCTGAGGCGGGTGGATCACATAAGGTCAGGAGTTTGAGACCAGCCTGACTAACATGGTGGAACCTCATCTCTACTGAAAATACAAAAATTAGCTGGGTGTGGTGGCTCACACCTATAATCCCAGCTACTCAGGAGGCTGAAGCAGGATAATCTCTTGAACCCAGGAGGTGGAGGTTGCGGTGAGCCGAGATCACGCCACTGCACTCCAGCCTGGGCAACAAGAGCAAAACTCCATCTCAAAAAATAATAATAAATAAGCCAGGCATGGTAGCATAGGCCTGTACTCCAAGCTACTTGGGAGGATGAGGCACGAGACTCATTTGACCCTGGGAGATGGAGGTTGCAGTGAGCTCAGATTGAACCTCTGCACTCCCACCTGGGCAACAAAGCAAGACCCTAAAAAAAAAAAAAAAAAAAAAAAAGACTAAAAACCCCAAGCAGGCTGAGTACAAAGGAAACTAAGAAACTAAGCATCTTGGTAAACCAATGAAAATCAAAGTAAAATCTTAAAAGCATCCAAAGAAAAACCATTAAACCTTTTAAAAAGCAACAGTAAGATTAATTACTGACTTTTCCACGAATCAACAGAAGCCAGAAGACACTGAAATACCTTCCAAGTCCAAATATCCATATACATACCCATATGCACGCTGTGACAAAAATTATTTTTCAGCGTGACAGGTGACTTTTACATAATCAAAATGAATAAATATCTTTTCAGACAGTGTAACAACAGGAGAATTTTCTCCAACACAATTTTCACTGCATTAAAGACTAAAAGGTTCCAGAGACAGAGAGAGAGAGACAGAGAGAGACAGAGAGACAGACTGCCAATCCGCACACATCCTGGGGAAGGGACCGGCCTGGCCGAAGCAATGGAACCTGAGCTTGAGGAAGCCTCAAGATCTAACAGCAGAGACTGGGCGCAGTGGCTCATACCTGTGATTCCAGCATTTTGCGGGGCCGAGGCAGACAGATCGCATGAGGTCAGGAATTTGAGACCAGACTGGACAACATAGTGAAACCCCATCTCTACTAAAAATACGACGATTAGCCAGGCGTGGTGTTGAGTGCCTATAACCCTAGTTACTTGGGAGGCTGAGGCAGAAGAATAGCTTGAACCTGGGAGGCAGAGGTTGCAGTGAGCCAAGATCATGTCACTGCACTCCAGCCTAGGCGACAGAGCAAGACTGTCTCAAAAAACAAATAACAAAAAAATCTAACTGCAGGGTCATAGAAAATGCAGAGAGGGAGGCGGTGAAGAGTGTGGGAGCTGAGAGGACAGTGGCACCAGCTCCCAGCGCTGGATGCAGAAGGTTTGAGGGGCTGGGGTCTGACGGGGGAGGGGTGGTGCTTGCATGCACATTCCTGGGCACTGGACATGGGGCACTAAAGGCAGAGAAAGGCACCTGGAATGTGTGTGTCAGCATTGGTCCCAGTGACAACCCCAGGAGGCTATGGCTTGCAAAGCCTGGCCAAGGACTGCTGCCTTCCAGAAAGCCCCATGGGTCAACCTACCTTCAGCAGGTAGGGCCTAAATTCTAAACCCGGGGTGGAGCCGTGAGCAGGGAGGAGATATGAAGACCTCAACTTCCTGAGAAGGCTGGATTGCCAAAATGAACTGCAGCCTGGAAAGGCAACAGTAGTGCCACCCCTTTGTTGGTGACAAGGACAACTTCAACCCCATCTCCCCGGGCCACACAGAGAGACACGGGCAGTGCAGTCAGTGCTTCTAAACAGATGCATTTAATGGCAACTCTTGGGGCAGAGGTGGCAGGAACTGCGGGCTCAGTTGGCGGCCAGGATCTTCTGCACCCAGGGTATGAGCTTGGTGACACGGGCGTACACGGCGGGCGTGGTGGTAGAGCAGGTGCGGCTGCCCCAGGACACGATGCCCACCAGGGTCCAGGCTCCGTCCTTCTGGCAGACCAGAGGGCCTCCAGAGTCACCCTGCAGGAAGTAGAGAGGAAGTATCTCCACCCTGAAAGGGGTGCCAGGGCCTAGGGGACCCAGAGCTGGTGGAGTCTAGGGAGGAGAGCAGAGAAATGGCAAGCATGGGCATAGGGGCTGTGCCTGGGTCCTGAGATCCGGGTTCACCTGGCAGTCCCTTCTCTGCCATGCACTCCTGGAGGGAGCTGGGGCGGCTGGCTTCCCTCCCTAAGCCGGGGCACCATCCATCTCTCCAAACCTCCAGGTCAGAGGGCTGCAAGGAAATCCCCAGGGACAGCCTCACCCACATGGCCTGGAGGAACCCTCACGAGCGGCTGTGACCCTAAGTCCTGGCCCTCATTGGGCCCCAGGAAGCAGTGGTGTTAGCAGATGAGGGCAGAGAGGGGTGGAAAGCCCAGGCCTGCCCTGCACCCCGCTCGCCTGGCCAGGGCCTGGGCAGGGCCAGCCTCACCTTGCAGGAGGAGACACCGCTGGCCCCGGCACAGATCATCTCGTCGGTGATCTTGCTGCCCCAGAACTTCTTGCATTCGGCATTGGACAGGAGGGGCAGGGCCGCCTGCTGCAGCTTGTCAGGGATCTTGTTGGCTGCAGGACAGCAGGAGGGTCAGGGCCCCTGGGCTCACCCAGCCCACTTAGGAGGGAGAGACCCGAGGCCGACACGCCTGCCCTCCCCTGCACCATCACCACGATGTTCGGTAGGGTCCCTGGAGCCTCAGAAGCGCCTGTGGGACAAAGGGGGCCTCGGCCCTGCCCGGGGGGTAGCCCCACACTGCAACTCCAGGCAGGTCAGCCAGGGCAGGGCTCACCCGGTTGGGCACTGCTCAGAAACCCCCTGTGCAGGCTCGTGATCCGACCTGGATTTTATTTGCATTTGGGGGATTTTAAATTTGAGGGATTTTAAATTCAGAAGATTTTAAATAAAGGGGCAGTTAAGAATGTGTTGGAATTTGGAGCCAAACAGTCACGGGGGCACTCCACAGCCAGGCAGCCCCGACCCCAGAGGCAGCCCCGCGGCCCCTCACCGTTGTACTTGGTCTTGCCCCAGCCTGTGGTGACGCACACTGTCCCCGTGGGGAAGTCATCGTCGGCACTGGGCAGGCACACGGCGGACACCGTCTGGGAGAAGACGGCGGGTGTGGCCAGCTTCAGCAGGGTGATGTCATTGCGCACGGTGAAAATGCTGAAGCTGGGGTTCTTGAAGACCTGGGGGTGGGGGCCAGAGTGCCGGGGTGAGGCCCTGGGAGGAGGCAGGACCTGCAGGCTTCGAGGACACAGACTCCTTCCCTGGTGCCCATTAAGGAGCAGTCCATCCCCAGGGCCAGAATGGGAACCATGAGGCCGGCCCGGCTCCACTGGGCACCTGTCCCTGAAGCAGCCCAGGGGTCTCCCCCCATGCCCGCTGCCCCTGCCCTCTGCCGCACGGGGCCTGGGTACCTTGGCGATCTTCAGGACCTGGATGTTCTCCTCATCAGAGCCCTGGTCAAACTCCCCGGCCACGACCACGTCAGAGGTCCTGGGCAGAGCGTTGTGGGTGAGAGAACATGCCCTGCTCCCCCCCTCCCACCCAGCTGGGCTGGAAGCAGAGCTCGAGGCTACCCGGTCCTCACCTGACCCCGCAGTGGGCGGCGGTGACCACCCAGTCCTCGCTGATGAGGGAGCCTCCACAGAAGTGGAAGCCGGTTTTGTCCTGGGAGGAAGAGGGGGAGGGTCAGCAACTCCCACCTGGCGGCACCCCCAGCCTGGCCCCTACCCAGGGTGCCCCCTGCCTTGCAGAAGCCCCTCACCTGCAGGGACACCTGCCAGGGCCAGGAGCCGGGGACGGCGTCCTCCCCATTGACGATCCTGGACAGGCCGCTGAGCACGGGGGGGATGGCGGGGACCCCGCAGCCTGGGGACGGGAGTAGGGTAAAGAAGGGCTGAGGCCCCAAACCAACCTGGGCCTCACCTGCCTGCGTGCAGGACTCTCGGTTATATCCCAGTCCACTGAGGCCAGCTCAGGACCTCCCTGGCACATGTCGCCTCCGCCTCCCTGGTTCCCCAGTCTCTAGGCTCAAATGTCCCTAACTCTCGGCCTGCTGGCTCCAGTCATCCTTCCAGGATGCAGAGGGTCATGTCTCCCCCTACCTGGGGCCTGTCCTGCCTGAAGAAGCAGAAAACAGGCTGCTGGGCTGTAAGACTGCCTGGGCTCAGCCTCGAGGCCACCCTTTCCTTGCTGTGTGACCCTAGACCAGGCAGGGCAGCACTCAGGCCTTGGTGTCCTCAGCTGTAAAATGGGCAGCAGAACCACAAGAGCTCCACCGGCCGACGCGCCTCTGTTAGACTGGCGGGGAGAGGGCAAGTGGGAAGAAAATCCGATAACCCCAAGTCCGCGGGGAACCTGGGGCTCTGACAATTTGCAGACAGGAGAGTGAAATGGTACCGTGGACCCTGGGTGGGCAGGCTGAACTCCACAATTTCAGGAAACATTGTGTACAGTTTTGGTTTCTTTCTTTTTTTTTTTTTCCAGATAGGGTCTTGCTCTGTCACCCTGGCTGGAGTGCAGTGGTGCGATCATGGCCCACTGCAACCTCAAATTCCTGGGCTGAAGCAATCCTATTGCCTTGGTCTCCCAAGGTGCTGGGATTACAGGCATGAGCCCCTATATCCGGTCTTGGTTTCTTAATTATTTAATAAAACTGGACTTTGGCCGGCATAGTGGCTCACGCCTGTAATCCTAACACCTTGGGAGGCCAAGGGGGGGTGCATCACCTGAGGTTAGGAGTTCAAGACCAGTCTGGCCAACATGGTGAAACCCCATCTCTACTAAAAATACAAAACTTAGCCAGGCATGGTGGCAGACGCCTGTAGTCCCAGCTACTTGGCAGGCTGAGGCAGGAGAATCGTTTGAACCTAGGGGGTGGAGGTTGCACTGAGCTGAGAGCGCACCACTGCACTCCAGCCTGGGTGACAGAGCCAAACTCCATCTCAAAAAAAGTCAAAACACAGCTGGACTTTGATTCCACACCATAAAATGGCACAGACGGAAGCAGAAAACAAACAGAACAATGAGAATAGTCAGGTGTTCCACATATGCCCACCACACCTCTGCTATCTCAGGACCAGATTCTCGGCTCCTGTGCGCAGGCCTCACGGTTAGGTTTTACGTTTGAGCAGACCCAGTCCCTCAGACCAGCCGGCCCCTTCTAGGGTCATACTCGCCTGCTACAGGGCAGCGCCTGCCTCTCCTGCCCACAGAAACACAAGCAGGCAAGGCGCCTCCCTGACGTTTGGGAGCATCAAAAACAACTGGTATTGTAACAGCAAAAAAATGAGAAAGAGCATGTTGGGAGGCCAAGGCGGGTGGATCACAAGGTCAGGAGTTCGAGACCAGCCTGGCCAATATGGTAAAACCCTCGTCTCTACTAAAAATACAAAAATTAGCCGGGCATGGTGGTGCGTGTGTGTAGTCCCAGTTACTCAGGAGGCTGAGGCAGGAGAAATGCTTGGACCTGGGAGGTGGAGGTTGTAGTGAACTGAGACTGTGCCACTGCACTCCCGCCTGGGCGACAAAAGTGAAACTCCGTCTCAAAAAAAAATAAGAGAAATAGATGGTAGTATACTCACAAAACAGAGCATGCATTATAAAAATTCAGGTGAATGAGCTGGAGCTCCATGTCAACATGCAGGAAGCGAGAAGATTTGAGTGGGGAAAAAGCACATTGTTGTAGAATGAAGGTAGAATGGAGTATTAGTTACATCAGCCAGCCACGGTGGCTCACGCCTGTATCAGCACTCTGGGACGTCAAGGTGAGCGGATCACTTGAGCCCAGGATTTCAAGACCAGCCTGGACAACATAATAAGACCCCAGGCCGGGCGCAGTGGCTCACACCTGTAATCCCATCACTTTGGGAGGCTGAGGCGGGTGGATCACCGGAGGGTAGGAGTTCAAAACCAGCCTGACCAATATGATGAAACCCTGTCTCTATTAAAAACACAAAAATTAGCTGGGTGTGGTTACGCATTCCTGTAATCCCAGCTACTCAGTAGACTGAGGCAGGAGAATCGCTTGAACCCGGGAGGCAGAAGTTGCCGTAAACCAAGATCATGCCACTGCGCTCTAGCCTGGGTGACAAGAGTGAAACTGTCTCAAAAAAAGAAAAAAAAAACAAAAAACCTCCATTTCTACAAAAGAAAAAGTTTTTAAACTTCGGATCACTTGAGCCCTGGAGTTTGAGGCTGCAGACTCACACCACGGCACGCCAGCCCGGGCGACAGAGTGATCCTGTCTCAAAAACAAACAGGGTAGAACACCGTTTCGTTGATGTAAAACTTTTTGAAACCTCATGTATAGATGCATAAATATGTAGGACATTTGTATAAGCCCACATTGCAATGATTCACAGCAAGTTCAGAATAAAGCTCCCATTCCAGACAGGGAAGCAGGGAGAAAAGGGAAAGCTGAGCAGAATCTGTTTTGGAAAGAAATATCTGAAGCAAATCTGCAAAAAGATTTTCTGAATTCTGACAGTAGATATAAGGATGTCATATTCTTTTCTATATTTTACTATTTCTCTTTTAAAAAGCAGAGAATGCGGCTGGGCACAGTAGCTCACGCCTGTAATCCCAGCACTTCGGGAGGCCGAGGCGGGGGTATCACCTGAGGCCAAGAGTTTGAGACCAGCCTGGCCAACATGGTGAAACCCCATCTCTACAAAAAATATAAAAATCAGCCAGGCATGGTGGTGGGCGCCTGTAATCCCAGCTACTCGGCAGGCTGAGGCAGGAAGATCGTTTGAACCCGGGAGGCAGAGGTTGCCGTGAGTGGATATCACACCACTGCACTCCAGCCTGGGCAGTAAGAGTGAAACTCCGTCTCAACAACAACAACAAAAAAGAAACAAAGAAAAAGAAAATGCTTGGCAAGTACCCGGCACAATAAATAAAAACCCCAAGGGAGGCCTTGGGAGGTCTCCTGGGGCCACACCTTATCCTACGCACGGCATCCCTGCCCCAGCCACTTCTGGAGCCTCAGACCATGGCAGAGGCCAGCAGGTCCTTCCCACTCCTGGCGCAGGTTGTGTGGGCTCAGAAAGCCCCAGAAGGACCCTCTTCTCTGAGCCCTCAGGTTACCTGTGCTGGGGATGAGGCCCCGGGGGCAGAGCAGGGGACTCAGATCCCCCTGTCGGCCAGGCTCTGGGCTCCCTCAGGACAGGCCCCTTGGACCCCAGCACTCACCAAAGGCGGCCCCCACCAGGGCGAAGCAGGAGAGGAGCCAGGGGAAAGCCATGCCGCTGCCTCAGAAGGTGTGGGACCTGCCAGCTGCCCTTTCTACCTCTCGGGGGGACCCCCAGCCCCGCCCAGCCAGGGAGGCCTGAGCCCACCCTCCCTGTTACCCAGGGACCTTGGGCGATAAGCGGAGGCAGAGCCCGGCCGGGTTCCCTGCCGGACAACCCCAGCCCCTGGGAAATGGGCAGCTGCCCTGACATCACCCATCAGCCTTGGGGACATGACCCCACAGAGCCAGCTGTGACCTGCAGTAACCCTGCCAGGAGCCGGCACCAGGCTCTTCTGTTCCCAGCGGGGAAGTGGAGGCAGTCCCACCCCAGGCTCATGGAGGCCCAGCCGATGGCACAGAGCCAGACCTCCGGGAACTCCGGTTCTCAGTGGACGGTGTTTCCGCCTAACACTGTCCTAGAAGCAAAGGGCTCAGGGCACTGTGGATTCTCCAGTGTCACCGCACATCACCAGTGAAGCCAAGTCATTTCCGAGTGTGGCGAGGGTCTCGGTGACACGGCCTGGTGGCCCTAACAGGTGGGCAAAGCCACTGACACGTGTCCCCGTCTGCTGCAGCACCCGACAGGATTCACTCTTTCTTCAATGACTCATAAGGAACTAATCATTTCACAGTTTCAGTTTCTTACAAAATGGAACTTTGATTCCACACCATAAAATGACCCAGAAAACTTGTTTTTAAGATGGAGTCTCACTCTCACCCAGGCCAGAGTGCAGCGGCACAATTTCGGCTCACTGCAGCCTCCGCTTCCCGGGTTCAAGTGATTCCCTGCCTCAGCCTTCCAAGTAGCTGGGATTACAGGTGCCTGCCACCGCGCCCAGCTAATTTTTTTTTTTTTTTTTTTTTTTTTTTTTTGAGATGGGGTCTCGCTCTGCTGCCTAGGCTGGAGTGCAGTGGTGCAATCTTGGCTTACTGCAGCCTCTGCCTCCCAGGTTCAAGCTTTTCTCCCACCTCAGTCTCTTGAGTAGCTGGGATTACAGGCATAGCACCACACGCGGCTAATTTTTGTATTTTTAGTAGAGACAGGGTTTCACCATGTTGTCCAGGCTGGTCCCAAACTCCTGGCCTCAGGTGATCCACCCTCCTCGGCCTCTCAAAGTGCTGGGATTACAGGTGTGCGCCACTGTGCCCGGCCAATTGTTGCATTTTTAGTAGAGACAGGGTTTCACCACGTTGGCCAGGCTCATCTCGAACTCCTGGTCTCAGGTGATCCTCTGGCCTTGGCCTCCCAAAGTGCTAAAATTACAGGCGTGAGCCACTGCGCCTGTCTGAAAATAAACTTTTTTGAGGAAGCAGAAAAACTTTTCATTGTCACAAAACAAGGAGGAAAGACAGATGTGGGTGACAGGTCGGTGACTCTGGGCAGGAAGCAGAGGCCAAGGGATCCCCGGCACCCTGTGGGCAGGTATTCAAGGGACAGAGCCCACAGCATCCCTGCCCTTACGGGCCTGAGACACTCGTGACAGACACACACAACACAGATTAGCATGTAACGTAGTGACCACCACAGTCACCTGGGGCAAGGCTGGACAGGACGGGCTGCACTGTAGTTCCGGACAATGGGGGTCTGAAAGGAAGACGTGGTGGGTGGATGGCGTTTCCACTGAAGGCCTTGGGCTCTGTGGTCAGCGGGCCGCATCACCTTGGCATTTAGAATATCCCCTCCCCAGCCTGGCGTGGTGGCTCATGCCTGTAATCCCAGCACTTTGGGAGGCTGAGGCGGGCGGATCACAAGGTCAGGACATCGAGACCATCAAAAAAAAAAAAAAAAAAGAATATCCCCTCTCCACTCCCACCGCTGCTGGAGAACACAACTATAAAGCAAAACTAAATTTATACACTAAAGACAAAATTTCAAAAGAAACCAAGTTCACATCAACCATGTTGCTTTCTTTTTCTTTTTCTTTTTCTTTTTTTTTTGAGACGGAGTCTCGCTCTGTCGCCCAGGCTGGAGTGCAGTGGCCGGATCTCAGCTCACTGCAAGCTCCGCCTCCCGGGTTCGCGCCATTCTCCTGCCTCAGCCTCCTGAGTAGCTGGGACTACAGGCGCCTGCCACCTCGCCCGGCTAGTTTTTTTGTATTTTTATTAGTAGAGACGGGTTTCACCAGGTTAGCAAGGATGGTTTCGATCTCCTGACCTCGTGATCCGCCCATCTCAGCCTCCCAAAGTGCTGGGATTACAGGCTTGAGCCACCGCGCCCGGCCTCTTTTTTTTTTTTTCTTTTTCTTTTTGAGATAGTCTTGCTCTGTCGCCCAGGCTGGAGTGCAGGGGTGTGAGCTCACTGCAACCTCTGCCTCCTGGGTTAAAGTAATTCTCCTGCCTCAGTCTCCCAAGTAGCTGAGATTATAGGCATGCGCCACTATACCCGGCTATTTTTGGTATTTTTAGTAGAGATGGAGTTTTGCCATGTTGGCCAGGCTGGTCTGGAACTCCTGACCTCAAGTGATCCACCTGCCTTGGCCTCCCAAAGTGCTGGGATTACAGTCATAAGCCACCACATCAGGCTGATAGCTACCATTTAAAAAAACAGAAAACGGCCGGGCGCGGTGGCTCAAGCCTGTAATCCCAGCACTTTGGGAGGCCGAGACGGGTGGATCACGAGGTCAGGAGATCGAGACCATCCTGGCTAACACGGTGAAACCCCGTCTCTACTAAAAAATACAAAAAACTAGCCGGGCGCGGTGGCGGGCGCCTGTAGTCCCAACTACTCGGGAGGCTGAGGCAGGAGAATGGCGGGAACCCGGGAGGCGGAGCTTGCAGTGAGCTGAGATCCGGCCACTGCACTCCAGCCTGGGCGGCAGAGCAAGACTCCGTCTCAAAAAAATAAAAAAATAAAATAAATAAATAAAAATAAAAAAACAGAAAACAACAAGTGGTAGATGTGGAAAAACTGGAACCCTCATACATTGTTGTTGGGAATGTAAAATGGTGAAGCTCCTATGGAAACAGTTCGGCATGGCTGGGCACAGTGGCTCATGCCTGGAATCTTGGCACTTTGGGAGGCCAAGGTGGGAGGATCACTTAAGCCAAGGAGTCCAAGACCAGCCTGGGCAACATAGTGAGACTCTGTCTCTACAAAAAAAATTTAAAAAGGCCGGGCGTGGTGGCTCAAACCTGTAATCCCAGCACTTTGGGAGGCCGAGACGGGCGGATCACGAGGTCAGGAGATTGAGACCATCCTGGCTAACGCGGTGAAACCCCGTCTCTACTAAAAAATACAAAAAACTAGCCGGGAGAGGTGGCGGGCGCCTGTAGTACCAGCTACTCGGGAGACTGAGGCAGGAGAACGGTGTGAACCCGGGAGGCGGAGCTTGCAGTGAGCTGAGATCCAGCCACTGCACTCCAGCCTGGGCAACAGAGCGAGACTCCGTCTCAAAAATAAAAAATAAAAAATAAATAAATAAATAAATAAAAAAAATTAAAAAAAAAAATTAGCTGGGCGTAGTGGCATAGTTCCAGCTACTCAAGAGGCTGAAGTAGGAGGATAACTTGAACCTGGGAGGTCAAGGCTGCAGTGAGCTGAGATCCAGCCTAGGCAACAGAGCAAGGCCTTGTCTTAAAAAAAAAAAAAAAAAAGGTACAAAGAAAGCAGTTTGGCAGTTCCACAAAACAAACAAACATGGAGTTACCTCATAACCCTACAATTCCACTCCTTGGAGGTACACTCCCCCAGAATAAAAGCAAGGACTTAAGTAGACACTCACACACCAGGGTTCACAGCAGCACTATTCCCGACAACGAAAAGATAGAAACCACCCCTATTGTTCATCAGCAGAGGAATGAGTAAAATGTGAGCTCTCCACGCCACTATTATTCAGTCATAAGAAGGAATGAAGCAGGCCTGGTGTGGGGACACACACCTGTAATCCCTGCACTGTGGGAGGACAAGGCGGGAGGATCATTTAAGGCCAGGAGTTTGAGACCAGCCTGGGCAACAAAGTAGACCCCTTCTCTACAAAATTTGTTTTTAATGAGCTGGGTGTGGTGGTACATGCCTGTGGTCCCAGCTACATGGGAGTCTGAGGCAGGAGGATCGCTTGAGGCCAGGTGGTCGAGGCTGAAGTGAGCTGTGTTTGTGCCACCACATTCCAGCCTGGGCAACAGAGTGAGACCATGTCTCAAACACAAACACAACACAAAATGAATCAGGTACTCATACATGCCAAATGCCAAAACACGGAGTTTTTTTTTTTTTTTTGAGATGGAGTTTTGCTCTTGTTGCCCAGGCTGGAGTGCAGTGGCGTGATCTCGGCTGACTGCAACCTCCCGCTCCCAGGTTCAAGCAATTCTCCTGCCTCAGCCTCCCGAGTAGCTGGGATTACAGGGATGCGCCACCACACCCACCTAATTTTGTATTTTTAGTAGAGACCCGTTTTCGCTGTGTTGCTCAGGATGGTCTCAAAATCCCTTGACTTTGTGGTCCACCCGCCTCGGCCTCCCAAAATGCTGGGATTACAGGCGTGAGCCACCACAGCCAGCCGAATCTTAAATGATGTCTGCTATGTGAAATAAGCAATACAAAGACAAGTATTGCATTATTCCATTTATATTAAACTTTTTCTTTTGAAAAACTTTTTTGTGAGCCACCACGCCTGGCTGACTTGGAGTGTCTTATCTTTATTTACTTTATTTTTGAAACAGAGTCTCACTCTGTCACCCAGGCCAGAGTGCAGTGGCGTGATCTCGGCTCAACTGCAACCTCCACATCCCAGATTCAAGCGATTCTCCTGCCTCAGCCTCCTGAGTAGCTGGGATTACAGGCATGTGCCACCACACCCAATATATGAAACTTTTTTTTTTTTTTTTAGATGGAGTCTTACTCTGTCACCCAGGCTGGATGGCAGTGGCACCATCTCGGCTCATTGCAAGCTCTGCCTCCCAGGTTCATGCCATTCTCCTGCCTCAGCCTCCCGAGTTGCTGGGACTACAGGCGCCCGCCACCACGCCTGGCTAATTTTTTGTATTTTTAGTAGAGACGGGGTTTCACTGTGTTAGCCAGGATGGTCTCAATCTCTTGACCTCGTGATCTGCCCACCTCAGCATCCCAAA